GCTTTCAAGAATGGACAACTACCCTCTTTGTGTTTCAATAAACTACAGGTACAACCACTTTCCAATGTCAGATGAATCAGGCTGTCAACATGGGGTCAGACCCAAGGACTTCATAAGACAAGCAGTCACTACAAAACAGAAAGCAGTGGAAAGCTAAGCTATGTAAGTGGCAGGAAGGTTGACAACCGGGTATGATGTCATTCCTAGTGGGTCACTGAATCCTATATAGAAAGTAGCTATTCATTCTTCAAAACTCTGTATAATGGCAGGTTAAATAACAAAAATGACTTACAAGAAAAATAAGTGTATGAAAGACGAATGATGTAGATTATCACAAATTCTCCCATAATTTTATGAAAGAAGAGAAGGTATAATTACCCGATCTAGACATACAGGTCGGCCATCACTAATCCAGCAATCAGTTATCCGGTTCCATCTGTAATCCGGCACTAATTTCAGCTAGCATAATTTCATCATTATACTGACTCAGAAATTGTGCAGATGGTTGTAAATCCACTGGAGAAAACAGTGATGAAAATGATGACGATGTAGCAGAAAGAGTCTCTATTGATAGGTTAATTAAATGTATTCTAGCTTAATTACTCCGTAATCTGTCAAACTCAATAATCCGGCACACTACAGGTCCCAATGATGCCGGATTAGTGATGGCTGACCTGTACTTGTGACCGGTTTTGAGGGGTCTTCTGCCCTTGTAGCCTAGCCTGAGGCCAGACTTCTCTCCTGGCTGCCTGGTCAACCAGGCTGTTGCTGATGTATCCATCACAATCTGATCTGGCAATTCCTGCAGGAATTAGTCTAGTTTTTTCCTGAATACTTTTGATAACTGCTGGTAAAAGACTGAGGTCTTGGGCCACATATGTTCAGTGTTTCTCTAATTTTGCTTATGGTGCTCTTGCATTTTTTTAACTGGGTTTATTCTACACTCCCCCATACCTCTAACTCTAATAGGTAGATTAGGAACTTAACCCTTAAGTATATCCCATGTATACATTTCCAGTTATGTTTCCTCTCAGTGAGCTTGGAGGAATTCACAGTAGTTTAAATGATTTATTGATTGCATGTGGCGGTATGCTTCTCCTGATGGAGACAATAATGAGAGGTATATTCTGATTATTAATCACTTCACTTGATCTAAGATTCTAACTTGTGTGTCTTTTTAAATGTTTGTGAAATTCATCTAGGAAAACTGGCATGAATTATATAATTATTTATAAAATAAACTTCCAAAGTACCAGCATAATAACCCAACTGAATCTCAAATATCCGCTGACAGTGAGATCCCCCTTCCTCTGTCAAGTCTCAGAACCAAAAACAGCTTCAATAGTTGCTCTTACTGGAGTTTTAGTTCATAAAACTAATTACTACATTTGGCTTCCATTCTTAATTCTCATATCCCTAATAACATCTGCAAAATGTGTCATAAAACTGTCAGATTACTGTCTTTTATAAGCTCTATAACGACTACTTGAACAATAATGGGTTTCTTATCAGTACAAAGGTCCCTTGAGTGACAATAGCCTGAAGTACATTAATTTTGAGTTATGATTTGCCCTGAAAAGAAATCTAGTTTTTGAGTTAAAATAAAAAATTTGCAATGTAATGTATGTATGTGTATGTATGGTGGTCAAGCAGGAGTGGGCAAGCCTCAGCCCAGAGACAAGACAAAATGATGAAAAGGTCTTACTATTATTATTATTCATGTATAATAAAAAAAGAAGTTTTATACAGTGCAGCAGGGCAGGGAAGGATGCAGAGGTAATGGATAGGGGGAGGGAGGTTATGGAGTGCAGCAGGGCAGTGGATAGTACAAGGGTAGAGGGTAACTAGAGATTAAGGTAGAAAGGACTGAGGAGAGTGCTAGAGACATTATCATCAGAGTTGAAAAGGTCTTAAATGGAGTGACAGTGCAGGATGTGTTGGAGGTGAGTGGGAGGGAGCCCATACATGTACATACTTGCAGACAACAACAACAGTGTAATTATTAAGTCTACAGTTCTATACCAATCTGCTTCCCTGCATCCCTTCCTTCCTTCCTCTCTGCATACCTTCCTTCCTTCCTGCATGCCTCTCTCCCTACTTGCCTGTCTATCTGGGTTCCACTGTCTCTGCATATTTCAAACTGTAGCCTATGCTTATTGTCTGGAAAACTCCCATGTTTAAACAACAAAAAGAATCCAAGGGAAGGTTGAGTGTGTTGTAGTGTCTTGGAATGAATTACTACCATAAAACCATATATTTTGGGGTTTGAGCTACGATGTGTCTTCTGGAAAGGATTAATATTGTAACTCAAGGAGCAACTGTATTTGACTTTTCTGTAAACTCAAATATACTGAATAGTTATGTTCTGTCTTCCATATGAACTTTCATGTGTCGCTTTAAGCTTGCTTCATTTGAAAACCTTTTTGGACATGCTGAACAGTTATATGGTGCAACTTCTTCATGAACACCTAAATGCTGTTCAAGATGTGATTTTCGTAAAAATTTCTGTGAACACACTGAACACCTATATAATTCCTCTCCTGTATGAACTCTCATGTGTAACTTTAAACTTGCCTTAAACCTAAAGTCTTTCATACAGACTGAACAGTTGTATGGTTTCTCTCCTGTATGAACCCTCCAGTGTTGTTCTAGCTGTACTTTTTGGATAAATTGTGTTGAACATACAGAACACTGATATGGTTTCTCTCCTGTATGAATTTTGTAGTGCCGATTTAGGTGCGATTTTTTGGAAAAAAATTTAGAACATACAGAGCACTGGTGTGCTTTCTCTCCTGTGTGAATTTTGATGTGTTGGTTTAGACTCGCTTTACTTGCAAAGCCTTTTGGACACAGTGAACAGTTAAATAATTTATCTCCTAAATGAACTTTCAAGTGCTGTTCTAAATGCTCTAGAGAAATTCTTTTAGAGCACACTAAACATTTATGTGATTTCTCTGTGTTCTCTCCTGTGTGAAATTTCATGTGATGTTTCAGACGCGAATTTTCGGCAAAGTCTTTCAAACATATTGAACATTTATATGGTTTTTCTCCAGTGTGAATTCTCATGTGTCGTACTAATACTGCTTTATCTGCAAAGTGTTTTAGACACACTGTACATTGAAATGGTTTTTCTCCTGTATGGATTCTCAAGTGTCGTATGACACATGCTTTAGTTAAGAAGCCTTTTAAACACACTGGACAACTATATGGTCTTCCACTTTCATGAATTTTCATGTGTTTTTCTAGCATGCCTTTATCAACAAACTCTTTTTGACACACTGAACATCGATTTACTATAGCTTCTGAACGAACTGTCTTGAGATCCTCTCCACTTTCAAAATCTTCGACAAACACACAATCCTCCCCAGGTTTTTCTTCTACATGATCTTTCATGTGTTGCATAAGAAGATTTTCATCTGTAAACTCTTTTAAGCACCCAGAACACTGATATAATATATCTTCTGTAAGAATCAGTGTGTGTTGCTCATTATTATTAAAATTTCCTACATTTACTGAACCCTCCTCAGGTTTTTCTGAATGAACAATCATGTGCTGCACGATATTTTCTTTATCTGTAAATTCTTTTTGACACACTGTGCACTGATATAATACATCTTCTGAAAGAGCTACTGTGTGTTCCTCTCTATCTTTAAAATCTCCTCCACACACTGAATTCTCCTCAGGTTTCTCTTCAGCATTAACTGTAGTATCTTTCTCATTACCTTTAAAATCTCCTTCACACGTTAAGCTCTCCTCAGGCTTCCCTTCTGAATAAACCTCTATGTGTTCCTCTTTAAAATTAAAATCTACATACACTGAATGATCTTCAGTTTTTTCTTCTCTATGAGTTTTCATGTGTTGGATCACAATATCTTTATCTGTAAACTCTTTCTGACACACTGAACACTGATATATATCTTTTGAATGAACTTTCATGTGTTGCATGATAACTTTTTCATCAGAAAATTCTTTTTGGCACTCTGAACACTGGTATATCTCTTCTGTATGAACTTTCACATCTTTTTCTTTATCATTAAAATCTACACACACACAACTTCCCTCAGATTTCTCTTCAATATGAAGTGTAACATCTTCCTCAACATTTTTAAAATTTCTCGGCTTCTCTTCTGTATGAACAATGGAGTGTCGTTCTAAACCAGATTTATCTTTAAAGTCGTCTAGACACACTGAACACTGAAATGATTTACCTTCTATATGAATTTTCATATGTTCATGAAGACTAGATTCGTCAGTAAAGTCGTCTAGACACACTGTACACTGATGTGGTCTGTCTGGTTTATGAGTTAACATGTGTTTAATTAGATTTGTACTATCTAACAAATCTTTTAGACAAACTGAACACTGGTATGGCTTTTCTCCTATATGACTCTTCTTATGTCGTATTAGACTTGCATTAGTAAAGAACCCCCTTACGCACAATGAACATTTATATCTTTTTCTTTGTGTATGAACCTTCAAGTGTCGTTTTAGATCTTCTTTCTGTAAAAATCTTTTTGAACACAATGAACACTGATATTTCTTTCTTCCATGAATTCTCATGTGTTGTATTAAACTTGTGCTATTTGGCAGGTTCTTTTGACAAACTGAACACTGGTATGACTTTTCTCCTACGTGGCGTCTAACATGTCGTTTTAGACTTGTTAAATACAAGAATCCTTTTACACACACTGAACAACTGTATGGCTTTTCTGCTTTATGAACTTTTAAATGCTGGTCTAAATGTATTTTCTGTGAAAATTTTTTTGTACACACTGAACACTGGTATGGTTTCTCTCCTGTGTGAATTCTCATGTGTCGCACTAGAATTGGTTTCTCTGTAAAGTCTTTTAGACATACTAAACACTGAAATGGTTTTTCACCTGTATGAATCCTCATATGCTTCTTCAGCTTTGTTGTATTTAAAAAACTTTCTGGACACACTGAACAGGGATAAGGTTTCTCTCCTGTATGAACTCGCAGGTGCTGATGCAGAAGTGCTTTGCGTGAGAAATCTTTGGAACAAAATGAACACTCATATCTCTCACTTGAGTGAACAATCATGTGTCGTACAAGAACTGATTTATCTGAAAAGCCTCTCTGACACACTAAACACTGATAAGGCTTTTCTCCTGTATGACTTCTGGTGTGTCTCCTAAGTTTGGTTATACTTAAAAACCCTTTTGAACACACTGTACAGTTATATGATATTGTTCCTGTGTGAATTAACATGTGCTGCTCTAAATGAGACCTTTCTGAAAATGCTTTTGAACAAACTGAACATACATGATATTTCCCTTGTGCATGAACTTTTAAGTGCTGTTTTAGTGCAAATTTCTGAATGAATTTTTTGGTACAACATGAACACTGGTATGGTTTTTCTCCGGTGTGAACTTTCAGGTGTCTCATTAGGACTGATTTATCTGAAAAGTCTCTCAGACACACTGAACACTGGTATGGTTTTTCTCCTGTATGAATCCTCATGTGTCGTTGTAGGGCTTCTTTAGTTGATACGACTTTAAGACACACTATACACTGGCATGGATTTTCTCCTGGATGATTTCTTAGATGCCGTATTAGACTGCCCATTTGCGAATAGACTTTTTGACATTTTGAACATGTATATGGTTTGTCTCCTTTGTGATTCTCTAAATGTTTTTGTAAATAATTTTTTTTCGAAAATGATTCTGAACACAGTAAACATTGGTGTGATTTTAATTTCTTTTGTACATGAATGCCTGGGGGTTTCAGTTGACTGGACTTTTGTCCAATTTCTTTTGCACACTCTGAACAGTCTTTTAGACACACTGAACACTGATGTGGTTTCTTGTCTGTATGAATTCTTATCTGCTGTAATACAGATGACTCTTGTTTAAAGTCACTTACACATTCTGGGTCCTGAGGTTGACTTTCACCAGCTTCATCTATGGAATGCATTACAAATGATTTTGTTTAGAGGCTTTTGAAAACTTAATTCATTTCTCTTGTGTATGCACTTCAAAATGTTGCAAAATGAATTCGAAAAAAATACACTAATGTAATTTTGCAATAGATTTGCTTTACCTTAAATTTTTTAGTCACTGAACAATAATAAAGAATAGTATTCCATATTTATGAATTCTGTAAAATAAAGTCCATTTTACTGTGGAAACACCAATATACAGATACTGAAAAATATACTTAAAAAATTACACCTAGTACACTTAAATTATTAGTTATAAGAACGTGCCATTATGGGGCTATTTGGTGACCCATTTGAACTGTGATAACTGTACACTTTCAAGAAAACAGAGTGATGGAATATGTGTTTCCTTCTTTGATGGGAAATGGGAAGTGCAGAGAAAAAGAGGGAAATGGAAGGGTTATTACTCTAAGTGTACATATTCTTTACAGCATGCACACACACATGTAAGAACCATGCAACTTCATATTTGGTAATGAGCACTGTTACAATACCTATAAATTATTGATGCAGGCAATTATATTCTTAATGTAATTTTATTCAACCTTTTTTGTTAACTAAACAATGAAGGTAATTAATTATAATCTAATTATGAGGAAAAAATGTAAAGTAGGTAATTAATGCAGAACTGTCCTTAAATATGTTCTTATTTTTACATAATGGTTAAATACTCATAATAACCCAAGAAGAATCAGTGCTGAATATTTAACACTGGCAATACTAATTTCCTTTTTAACTAAAATGAACTTTAGTACACAAGATGTAGATAATGCATGGCAAGACTTAAGATGAATAAACTGTTTCTGTAACAATTGACCATGTTGCACAACAATATATTTGTTAAACAAGTTACATCCACAGGATGTTGAATGTATGCACACAGTAGCCAGTTCACATGTAGTAGACAGGATGTTGAGTCCGTTTGCAGGAGACAGGAGGCTGAATCCACATCTAGTAGACAGGAGGCTGAGTCCGCATCTAGTAGAAAGGATGCCGAGTTCCTGTGTAGTAGACAGGATGCTGAGGTCAATAAGCTTTACGCAATTATGTACTGACAATGAACATGTTTATCTGACAATGTAGAGAGCTTTAATACTAACTGCTGACACTATTATGTTTGTAATAACCTTAATAGCACTGGGTCTTGGAAATGCTGCAATAATTCTTCTGGGGATGCTGCCACATAAATGACCTTAATGGCACAGGGTCTTGGCACAATTACAGTAACTCTGGTGAACCAATGACCTGCAAAAGACAAAAAGGAAGACTTTACCAGATGCTGACTTTACTTAAGATGAAACATGAAGGAAACAAGCAACAAAAACATGGCTGGAACAATTTACAAAATATCTACACTAATGAAGTGTGTAAAGATGTCATTCTGGCCCATCCTGAGCCACTGTCAACTCACTAGTTGGCAAGAACAAGCAGAGATGCCAGAAGACAGATCAGGAAGAGTGAAGAGAGATGAGAAGGCAACAGTAAAGGCAGTATTTGAGGTAGCAGTGGTGGCAGCAGCAGGTAGTTAAAACTACTCCAAGTAGATCTGGTTACTGTCTTATTCAGTACATGTAAGAGAAGAGAATACCTCAGCTAATTGGGATTTCTCACAGTCATATGATATTTCTAAGTGAAAAAGCAATTTTTGAAGGTTTCTATACATTACTGTTATTAAACTGCCACAAAAAGTTAGACTGCAGAACTGATCTGACCAAGCTATATCCTAGACCATACATTTGTGAACAATGAGGAAATGATCTCAAACATAATAGTGTTGCAGATGGTAGCCTCAGACCAGAACGTAATCGAGGTGATAAATGAGGCAATTATGTAACATTTGGATATCTATTTTGGAAACGTTTTGCCAGCCAGCTGCTTCTTCAGTCAAATATAGGGAATAGGAAGATGAAGTGGCATTTGAGATAATCAGTCCCTTAGTCTGGAGATGATGTGCTCAGTCCATCAATCTTGATAAAAGAACCATTTATACAAATACAGTGGTCCCTCGTTTTTCGTAATTAATCTGTTCCTGGAGCCGTTACTATAAACGAAATTTACGATTTGCGAATCAATTTTCCCCATAAGAAATAATGTAAATACAATTAATCCGTTCCTGACACCCAGAAGTATTAAAACAAAAAAATTTTTTACATGAAATATACATGTAGTACATAAACAATACAATGGGAAATGATGAATGAAACATTAACAGCGTAACACTTACCTTTATTGGAGATTCTTCTTAGTGTATAGGAGACTGGAGGAGGAGAGAGATTGGATTGTTTACAGTTTGGAAGGGGAATCCCCTTCCAGCAACACCTCAGGTACCAATTGCTTCTCTGGGGTTGCTTCTCTTCTCTGTTTCTTAATGCCACTAGGACCACCTTGAGAATCACTCTAGTCCTGTCTCGCAAAGTAACTGTAGAGAGAGCTCTGTTTCTGGCATCTCTTTAATACTTCCCTAAAATGGCCCAAGACTTTGTCACTGTACATATTTCTCACCTTCTTTACCACAGGCTTGGCACTAGGAGCTTTCTTTGGAGCCATGGTAGCTTATTTAGTACTTGCAAGCACTAAAATGAGTGGAATATTATGAAATATTTCGTAGGAGCACTTGAGGGGACCTTCACTCACTGGTAAACAATGCCAGACTGGCTGGGTAGGGAGGCCGCCCCGGCTCACACCGTGCATACGCATCCCGGATGAACTACTATTCGCGAGTCAACCTATGAAAAGCGAGTCCACGTTTATACGAAAATACCCCTATGATTGGCGAAATTTACGATTGCCGAGAACTACGAAAAGTGAGGGACCACTGTAATTGAGGTTCAGACCTGCATGCACAATTGCCTGGGTCTTATAATCACAATCAATCAATGATAAGGGCAAATTCAACAATTTCATCAAGATCACTGTGGTCAGTTTCTCTGGAGGATGAACCCAATGGAGCTCTAAATATGTTCCAGATACATACCTCTACAACAATGGAAATGATGTTAACCACAGAGAGGCACTCACTTTACAAAAGATGACTGATAACAGGTAAACTTTTCATGAGGTTCAAGAGTTTTTCTACTCCTGGAGGCCAGGCTTCTTTGGTGCCTGAGTTTCAAACTTTCTCAAGCACAAAAGTAAACACTGGTTCTGGTTAGCAAAACAGTGAACACCGAGCACAAACTGACAGCATCATGGAGCACATAGAACAAACCCCCTCTCCCTCCCTCCCACTCTTCCACACTCCCTCCCACCCTTCCATACTCCCTCCCACCTACCCTTCCATACTCCCTCCCACCTACCCTTGCCTACTCCCTCCCACCTGCCCTTCCATACTCCCTCCCACCTACCCTTCCACACTCCCTCCCACCTACCCTTCCACACTCCCTCCCAACAACCCTCCCAAACTTCCTCCCACACAGCCACCAATCCTGCCTCACTCCCTCCCACACTCCCACCAACCCTCACTACCATGTCAGTGCACTACAGTGATCTACCAGGTCACAACACTAGTGACCTACCAGGTCACAGCACTAGTGACCTACCAGGTCACAGCACTAGTGACCTACCAGGGCACAGCACTAGTGACCTACCAGGGCACAGCACTAGTGACTTACCAAGTCGCAGCACTAGTGATCCACCCGGTCACAACACTAGTGATCTACCAGGTCGCAGCACTAGTGATCTACCAGGTCAGATTGAGGAAGGGTATGCTGGGGCTCTACCTTCAGTGTTGTGTACCCACAAAGCTCATCCTACAGTGTTGTGCACCCACAAAGCTCATCCCACAGTGCTGTGTAAGTAAGTTTATTCAGGTATACACAAATACAGTTACATAGATTATCATACATAGCAGCATATGTGTAGAGAATCTAGGATAACCCAAAAAAGTCAGACAGAGTGACTTATTTCCATTGGGGTCCTTTTACCTTATTATTATAATATAAAGGTTATAATATTTTCTTATTATTCTATAATGAAGATAACATCTTATTATTATACTAAAAAGACTATCTACTACACGAGGGTCATTAAGACTATTTACAATACGAGGGTCATTACTAGGATTAAGGTAAAATTACACTTGTGTTAGCTAAAAAATAAAAAATCATTCCCCTCCCTTTCTGTATACCCACAAAGCTCTTCCTACAGTGTTGTGTACCCAAAAAGTTCTTCCTACAGTGTTGTGTACCCACAAAGCTCTACATACAGTGTTGTGAACCCACAAAGCTCTACATACAGTGTTGTTTACCCACAAAGCTCTACCTTTTAACACACTCAACTCTTTCGCTTTCGAGACCCCTGCTCACACACTTGCTCTCAGTGTCAAAGAATTTTCAAAAAAAAAAAAAAAAAAAAAAAAAAAAAAAAAAAAAATCTTATGAAATGATAGAGAATCTTTTTCCAATGGTAATGACACCAAAAGTACAAAATTGTATGGAAAACTTATGGAATTACACTCTCACAATGTTAGTGGTCTTGGTGATATACATATACACATTGGCAATTTCGCCCACTTTGAACCCTATTTTCAGCCAATCCCATTGTTCCAGTCGACCAAACTCATAGCTATTTCACTAGATCTCCATTTGTTCTATCGATTGAGTACAAGAAACTGCCCATTTACTGATTTCAACTACCCAATAAAGTGGTCAGAAATTGGCAATTTGGCCAATTTCACACAAATTTCAATAGACGGCAATTTTAAAATAGGATCCAGAATAAACAATGCAGACATTCCTGGCACTAAAATAACATTTTCTCTGTTCATTAGTCATGTCTCCAGGCCCCTATTATATTACTCTTGCTTTCCGTTTTGAATTTTTATTCACACAAAAAAATAGAAGATTTGCTGTTATGCGGATTACTGCATTATTGTATGTAATAACTGTATAAATAATGTCAACCCATTCATGACTGCATATCAGACTGGCCAGTTGGACACGTATTTGTCTGTTTACTGTTGAACATCAGCAAAAATCAAACATTTCCACTAGTTTGAGCTCAATTTCAAGGTATTTTTCATCATGAAACCAATCAAAATCATCTGTAATATATCTTCCATTTTATCAAATAAGACCAAGAAAATCAGAATACAACCGTAAATACCATTTGAAAATACACCGCAAAGTTGGTGTTTTAACCCCTTGACTGTCGCAACCCCAAATCCTGAGGTGTCTCAAGGTGTCGCAAAAATTAAAAAAAAAAATAATTTTTTTTTCTTGTGAAATGATAGATAATCTTTTCCCGATGGTAATGACACCAAAAGTACGAAATTTGATGGAAAACTCATGAAATTACGCTCTTGAGAAGTTAGCGACCTAAGCTAACTTCGGCTAATACCATTGTTCCAGTCAACCAAACTCATAACTATTTCTTTAGAACTAAATTTGTTCTATCAACTGAGTACAAGAAACCGCCCATTTACCGATTTCAACTGCCCAATAAAGTGGTCAGAAATTGGCAATTTGGCCAATTTCACACAAATTAAAAAATATGCCAATTTCAAAATAGGGTCCAGAATGAACAATGCAAACAGTCCTGGCTCTAAAATAACAATTTCTTTGTTCATCAGTCATGTCTCCAGGCCCCTCTGATATTACTCTTGCTTTCTATTTTGAATTTTTATTCAAACAAAAAAAACAGAAGCTTTACTGTTTACCTGGAGTTTACCTGGAGAAAGTTCCGGGGCTCAACGCCCCCACGGCCTGGTCTGTCACCAGGCCTCCTGGTGGATCAGAGCCTGTTCAACCAGGCTATTACTGCTGGCTGCATACAATCCAACGTACGAGCCACAGCCCGGCTGGTCAGGTACCTACTTTAGGTGCTTGTCCAGTGCCAGCTCAAAGACTGCCAGGGGTCTATTGGTAATCCCCCTTATGTATGCTGGGAGGCAGTTGAACAGTCTCGGGCCCCTGGCACTTATTGTATTGTCTCGTAATGTGCTAGTGACACCCCTGCTTTTCATTGGGGGATGTTGCATCGTCTGCCAAGTCTTTTGCTTTCGTTGCGAGTGATTTTCGTGTGCAAGTTCAGTACTAGTCCCTCTAGGATTTTCCAGGCGTATATAATCATATATCTCTCCCGCCTGCATTCCAGGGAATACAGGTTCAGGAACTTTAAGCGCTCCCAGTAACTGAGGTGTTTTATCTCCGTTATGCATGCTGTGAAGGTTCTCTGTACATTTTCTAGGTCAGCAATTTCACCTGCCTTGAAAGGTGCTGTTAGTGTGCAGCAGTATTCCAGCCTAGATAGAACAAGCGACCTGAAGAGT